CTGAACCCGAGGAAGAACTTCTTCCCTCTGAGGGTGACGGAGCCCTGGCCCAGGCTGCCCAGGGAGGCTGTGGAGTCTCCTTCTCTGGAGATATTCCAGACCCGCCTGGCCGCGGTGCTGTGCAGCCTGCTCTGGGTGACCCTGCTTGGGCAGGGGGTTGGGCTGGGTGACCCACAGAGGTCCCTTCCAACCCTTGCCATGCTGTGGTTCTGTGATTCTGTAAAGCAGGGTGGCTGCCAAGGGCGTCTCCAGGCCCCGCAGCAAGCACCCCGTGTCGCGTTAATTTGGCAGAAAATGAAGCTCCTTGCATCCTAACTCTCCTCAATGTAGTGAGAGGCTAGGTACGGCTAGGTTTAAATTCTGAGTGACGTCCAATTTGCCACTACCAATCCAGTCGCGTTTAATATGTCTATTAAAGTACCACCATTCTGGATAGCGGTCTGCTCCTTCCGTCCAGTCGGGCTCAGGAGCCAGCACGGCCGCGTTTGGTCGCGTTCGGTGCGAAACTGGGACAGCTGGCTGCTTAAACAGCGCAGTTTGATTTGTGCAGCAGGTATATGAGTTTTTTGAATTGCCGGTGATAGCGACTGTCTGCAAGAAAGCACGTGCAAATATAAAACGCATGGAAAGGTTATAAATAATACAGCCTGGCTATAAACGTTAGGGAGTAACTCTCTAGAGAGATTTCTAAGATTCCCGAGAGAAGCGCTTAGCTGAAGTCTCACCCAAGGCTTCCCAAGGGAGGGAGAAGCGGGGCTCAGCCCGTCGGCCGATCCCGGCTGTCGGAGGCCGCCTGAGGTGGAGTTTCCCTTGACTTGCTCACGATGTTATCTTCTTCTTCTCCGAAAATCCATGGTGTTGTCTTCTCCTCCCAAAATCCATGGTGTTATCTTCTCCTCCCAAAATCCACGGTGTTGTCTTCTCCTCCCAAAATCCATAAACGCGTGAAACGGTTATAAATAATACAGCCTGGCTATAAACATTAGGCAGTAACTCTCTAGAGAGATTTCTAAGAATCCTGAGACAAGCACTTAGTTCAAGTCTCACCCAAGGCATCCCAAAGGGGGAGAAGCAAGGCTCAGCCCGTCGGCTAATCCCGGTAGTCAGAGGCAGTCTGAGATGGAGTTTCCCTTGACTTGCTCACAGTGTTGTCTTCTCCTCCTCAAATCCCCTATTTCCCTGGCTATTTTTACATCCTTTCTCCATTCAAGGTGGAGTTTGAGTGACTGTAGTCATACACACCTTTTATCACGATTGGTGTAAAATTCTCTGGCTTCACGTTTAAAGGTACAGTTTACGAAAAATCGAGGGCGCAGACTCGAAGAGGGGTGGTCGCACCTCGGAGGCGGGTAGCCTTTGGGATGGAGGTGTGCTTTGGAATTAAAATGATATCAAAACGAGCAAAGTTCATGAGAGGATAGCACTTTGGCAAGGTTTCAAGAACCTGTTGGCTCAGAGGGCCAGCTGAGCTGCTTCTCACTTCTAGAGGAGCATCTCTTCCTGCTTTATCATCACGGAGCATGGCCACGGAGTCTCCACCCAGCTCCATCCTCTATGGCGTGTTGCAGGGAGTTGCTGTGTGAGCGGATTCCTCACGTGCCTGCTGCAGCTGCGTCCCATCCTCAGAGCTCCTTTGGATCTTATGCTTTTCCTCAGTGGGTGAACAATGCTACGTTTTTTCATATAAACTTTAATTTTAGATGTAAAACCTTAATTTTACTAATAATTCCACACCCCGAAGCGTTGATCGACATCGCGTGTTGAGGTCTTGCCCGTTCCTGAAATCCCTAACGCCGTCCCTCCCTTTTCGCAGGAACAGAGGAAGTGGTTTTTGGAAAAGTCGGAGGAACCGTGCTCCTCCCGTGCCGGAATGTCTCCAGAGAAGCGGCCGAGGTGGTCTGGTTCCAAGGGGATCCGCGCTCTTTCCCCCCGCTCTTCTCCTCAAGCGTCGCCTTCCCCCCGGACGCCCGTTTCTCCCTGGTTGGCGGCAGCTCGCTGCGCATCGCAGGGCTGCGCATGCAGGACGAAGGCAACTACACTTGCAAGGAGGGGCTGAACCGGACGGACCACCAGCACCGCGTCCAGCTCCGGGTGGCCAGTAAGTGTGTCCCGCTCCTGCGGATCTCCTCCCTCGAGTCTCCCAGGTCCCCGGACTCGTCTGGCGCTGGAGGACAAACGGTGTGAAACGGCGCGAGGTGGCCTCGTGGCGCGAGACCTGCGAGCGGGGCGATGCTGCTCGCTGACGCCTTCGCTCGCAAGCGTGTGTCCAAACGCTCCGGCGAGGATCGGTGGTGTGCGATGCGGAGGATGGCACGCCAGCTGCCAAGTCCTCGCTGTGTCCCCTCCTTCTTCGCTGGTGACGATTAACTGGTTTTTGAGCAGGTCTTTCAGACCCTGTGGCTGTTCCGGAGCGGCCGTTTGCTGCAGAAAGACCTGAGCCTTCGCAGACCTTGCGGAAGGGGGCTGCTGCTCCCCGCCGTGTTCCCCCTCGGCTGCAATCTGCGTGTAAATGGATGTGCTGTGCCGTTCCTCGTTGCCGTCGTGGTGCGAGGGGGTAGGAGTTGTGCTGAGCCTCACGGCGCAGCCTTCAGATTTTGATGGAGACGCCACGCTCCTCCAATTCACAGCTGGGAGCTCTGTCCTGGGAGCGTCCCTGTTGTCACCAGCACGGGCTGTTCTTTCAGCCTTTTTTTTCCCCTGTTGCGTCTTTTGGCGCTTGCTCCCATTTCCATCCCTATTTTCATCCATCCTCTCGGCGATCTTCGCGGCACGGGTGGAGGATGAGGCTGGGAGGAGAGCGCTCGAGCTGATGCCTTTGCAGACTGCTGGTGCAGGTCCTTCCTGCTGCTGCTGGGGAATCGTGATCCTGCCCGGACATCCCATCCCTCCTGGGGAAAAAGCCCCCTCCAGACTAGCAGGGAGCACAGTCCTGGGCTGATGCTGCTCTCGGCCCCTTCGCCAGCTCTGATCAGCTGTGGCATGGGCTCTGATCAGCGGTGACCTGCTGTCCTTCACGCCAGCCAAGCCTGTGTCACAGGCTTTTTTAGAAAGGCTTGCGAAGAAGGAAAGGTGGCTCTCAGTTTGCCTTGTTCGGTGTTCTGCTGGCCCCTTCCTTTCTTGCTGGTCTTTCCGTCAACGCCCGCCGTGCGTGAGACCCATTCTCTGTTTGCCTTCAGGGTGTTCCTCCCTCCTCGGTGTTTGGTGAAGGGCGCGTGTCGTAAAAGTCATACCTGTTCCGTACAGATTAAATCTCGTAAATTCACAGGAGTGAAAATTGCCTTTCTGGGGTGAGGAACCTGTAGCTGGGGTTTGGAGGGTCACGAAGGGCTGGGGTGAAGGAGTCGAAACCCCAGGCTGCTTCGGAGAATATGTATGAGGTGTGAGGCTTAGGAGGGGGAGCCTTAAATCTGGAGCATTGGTGCGAAACGCTCATGATCCGGAGATATCTGTGGCATGCCGAGTGTTGGTGCTGCACTCTGAACTTCATTTATTGACGTGGGATTAATGTGTTGATTAATTTCCAAAGGTTACGAAGGTGATGTGGGCCAGTGGCGTGCCCTGAAATAGGCAAGAGAGATATTTCTGGTGGGGCACTTTAGATCGAAGCATCAGCCCAGGCCAGAAGCTGAAGAGCCTCAGGCTGGAGGCCCGGCCCTGCTTTGTCACGGTCACTGGTGCTGGGGCAGCTTCGCCGGGGCGGGAGCAAACCCCTCGGACGCAGACCCAGCACCACTGCGCAGGAGACACCCAGGGTCTGTGGGCTCCGTGTGGGAGCTGACAGCTGACGATCTTCAACCAGTCTTGTGACTTGTACCAAAAAGTTCACTTTTTGCTTAAAACTGCATTTAAAGAACCTCCAAGCAGTGGAGGAAGCATCCTGGCAACGCGACGAGGGTGCAGCCCAGCCCTGAGCTGCGGTTCCCTGTTTGGGTTGGACTGGAAGCAAGCGGCGTGAAGGAAACGTGCCGTCGCCCACCTCCGAGGGATCCCTTGGGGTGTTGGTTTCGCGCCAGCTGCCACTGGCTCCGCTGCGGGCGTGAGGTCCTTTTTGCTGGTGTTTTGTGAGGTCTTTTTGGCTGGGGGGATGGGGTTGGCGGTTTTTAGGTTTTTGGTTGGCTAACATGTTGGGAACAGATCTCTGTAGCCAGAAGAGTTGTACTGGAGAGCCTGGGGGAGGGCGGGCTGTCCCGCCGGTGGCTGCAGGCGGCGAGTTGCCAGGCACCGGGCACAAGGCGGAGC